CGTCATATAACCTGGAGTTTGCGATCTAACACGGCTTTCAATCAAGTGTCCTTATCTCTAACAGCACCTCCAAAACATGAAATGAATACACTAATTCTCAAGTGTTTTGTTCGTGAGTGTACCTAATGTGAAAGCCCTCTGTCTCCCCCTTTCCACTAGACTGACATTCTTTAGTCCCTTTGATACAGAAATTCTTCACTCGTCACTCAGCCTTCCTTACCTGTTCTCCCCAAGATCTCATGGCTACTTCACTGTGATGGCTGACTCCAAAGTCTGAACTGTAGTTCCTTTCTTTTCTCATTCTTCACTGGGACTAGGGCAGTTCCCTGGAGGTCCGTTCATCCTTCCCGTCATGCCTCAGTACTACAGTCAGCTCCACGCTAGGCTCTGTTAATAAGCACAATGCCACCTTGGGAGCCAACCAGGGACACAAATGCAACTCACAGCAGGTGAGAATTTGGTCTAGAAACAAATCACACACACACACAAAAAAAAAAAACAAAACACCCACCCCAATAAGGAAGGAAGGAAAGAAAGAAAGGGCAAAGGCTGGAAGGAAGGGGACACTCGGGGAAGAACCGGTTTGAACTCTTGTTGATATTAATTTATTCAGCAAGCATGAAGAGTTTTGAGGGTTTGAAGCTTTATATTAAGATTTCAAACAGTTGGAATAATTCTGATAAGGAGTAAAGGTAATCAAGAGAATGATAGTTGTGAAACTTTCACTTGATGTAAAAACAAAATAGCTTAAGAGTTATCCAAGATTTAGGGAGTGTAACTAAAAAGTTCTGTCCCTAAAAACAGAACTTGAATAAAAATTCAGAGTTTAAGATAATTCCAACAACCTTTTAAAACATCCTAGGTGATTCTTAAGAGGGATCACACCTTGGAGGGCACTGAATGAGAGAGTGGAAAAGAGGAAAGGCCATTGGCATGAAGACCTGATGCTGTCTCTGCTCTATTTAGTCCTGGTTTCCTTACCATTTAAATGAGGGGTTCAGTAAAAGGAGATGGTCTTTAAAGACCTTTCTAAAACTAAGAAAGGAATGACCCATTTTCTTTAATAGTTTTTCATAATTACTTTATCTTTTCCAAGGGAGAAAAATACATGTAATTATATCAATGTCCATGTGAAAGAATCAGAGATGAGTTGCTTACAAAGATGACTGTCAATAAAATGGGATTCTTAGGCGACCTCCTGCACCTTCTTAGTTCTAACTTGGTCTCTATGATAGTCTAGCATTGTTGTGGGCTTCCTCTCACTCATGCATTGCTGTCAAGTTGGAACCAACTTACAATCG